TTACAGAACTGACATTACTTAGTTAAAACTACCACACTGTCATGCAACATATACAAAATTGTCAATGTCCAAAGTCTTGTAATAGTTTAAATGGAAGCAAAGCTTTGGCACCAAAATGTATTCCCTCTTTTAAGATACATGTTACAAGGAATTCTTACAGACTATGAACATTAGCTTTCCAAAATGAGGTCTGTTACTGTCACTCCTTCCAGATCTAGAGGGATTACATTATTACATTCATTTATATTGCTCATTCACAGTGCTTTCTCCTAAAAAAATGCTTTAGTAAAATAATAGCAAGAAGCAAAACTTAAAATAGTATTAGCTGTGCAAAGAAGCCAAAAGAGCATCTAGGGATTGGAGGGTTCACAAACTTCCACAGCATATTTAACTTGCATCTTTTTTTTTGTAAACAGTGTTTTTGTTTTGTTAGAAGAAACAAATAGGTTTACAAAGCGATTTTCACACTGTTTCAAGACACATCTTTTATTGCAGCTATTACTTCCACTCAATTTCCAAACAGGCTCCTGCAGTTCTTACAGGTCCATCTTTGGCAACCAACCTTTTATGTATTCCCTAGGAATTACTTTTGCAGGTAACCAAATATTTGAAGTTATGATACAACTTCAGACTCAATGCAGACCACTTAAACGGGACAATAAAACTATTTTCTACCTAAGTCTCGAGACATTTTGGATTGTTTTTTAATGTTTAATGGAAAACTTTTATCAGGTTCAAGTACGACAAAATGCAGAACTTCTGGAAAGCTGTGTTGTCCAGTGTTGAAAAAAAAAAAACCAAACAAACAAAAAAAACCACCTTCTGATAAAAGGAAGCAGAATGGCGTCAAATAAATCAGTTTCAGGAATTAATGCCTCAGCCCCAAAACTAACTGTATCCCTTTTAACGGTAAGCTGACATACTATTTCTGTGATAATTGCTAACAACACAAGATCTCCGTATGCTTAGCCTTGTCTACTCAGCCAGCAATAACTCTACGGCTATGGAGAGAGAGCACCTCAGCTATACCTTATGTCTCCTGTTCTCATGACCTAGTCTATTTACTGAAGACATTCAAGTCTATACTGCATGATGATGTTTAAGTGAACGTGACTCCATTCCTCCACCAAACCTTCATCAGATTTTCACAACCGGTTCTTAATCACAGCACCATGCCCAATTCAAGATGCCTCACTTCATTCTCAAAAAAGTCGATCGGCTGTGTGAGAAAGGAAATATATGGGTTACATCTGAATTGTATGAATGTATTTCGATACCCCTTCAGGAAGCCACTGCACATCCTGTTTCTCCTACTCGCTTTGAAGTCCTCCCGAGCTGAGCCGCACCACGCTATCTGTTTTCCTCCCCGGCCTCTCCTCCCCAGCTCATCCTTCGGTTTCCCACGTTACTGAACGCATAGGCATTTTTAGTCAGCACTTCCTAACCACCAAAATAAAGTCATCAGCCTCTCTCTCACTCGCACACACGCTACACAAAGAAACAGAAGCATTAATAACCGTTTCCAGAACAGCCCTCTACCACCAACTTCCTGCACATCAATAATTTTGCAATTTCTGCTTGACAAACACACTCCGAGGCCCGAGGTTCGGGCGGGAGGGGGCATTTCTGCTCGCTCAAGGAAAACCTCGGAGCAACGGATGCTTCCCGGCCACTCCGGGGCTCCAACGGCCCCGCCACATCCCTTCATCCCTCCCTCATCCCTGCTCCACACCTCCCTCCCGCCCGCCCGGTGCGGCGCCGCGCAGACCCCGGCCCGGCCCCTCTAGCACGTGCCGGCCGCGCCCGCCACAAAGCCCCATCCCGGCGCCGCCAGAGCGCGGCCGGGGCCTCCGCGAGGCTCCTTCTCCTCATCGTCTGGCCCGAGGAGCACCGCCGTGAGGAGCTACCGCCCCCTCCGCGCCCCCAGGGCCTCAGGCGCCCGCCTCACCGCAGGAAGGGAGAGGGAGCGGCGGCGGCCCGCGCCGCGGAGCCACAGAAGGAGCGGGCACCTGAGCGCGGCAGCTCCCGGCGCTTGCCCAGCCCAGCCCAACTCTAACACAGCCCGCCCCGGCCGCGGCACCGCACTTACAGATCTTCCCTCGAAGATTCTGCAGCACCCGCACCTCGTCGCCGCCGTCCCCGGCCGCCATCGCGCCAGTGCCGCCGCCTGCGCAGTACAACGCGCCGCGGGGGGAAGGGAACGGCTTGGCCCCGCCACACGCCCAGGAGCCACCCCGCGCTGCCGCTACCGCTCCGCCCCCGCCGGCCGCCGCCCTCGGGGGGCACCACAGCACCGGAGCGGGGCGCGGGGCGGTGGTGCGCATGCGCAGTGGCGCCCGGCTGCCAGCAGGCCTTTGCGCTGCCGTTCCTTCCTTGCTGTGGCGGCGTTCTGAGGCCAGCCTCGGCGGGGCTGAGGGGTGTTGGTGTTCCGTCACCGGTTCACTGCGTTCCTAGTGCGCTCGGCCGCTTCCGCAGCTAACCCTAACTGCCCTGTTCTGTATGAGCCTCTTGCAGGGTAGAAGGGCTCTGGCTGCGGGGCACGACAAAAGCTTGTATTTACCCTATTCATTGCATTAAACGGCTGAAACGACAGGGCCGGTTGCTTTGATTTCTGGCACGTTGAGTGCCTGTCTCTGTGAAAGGCGCTCCATGGCTTCTAATGAACCTCCCCTGCTGTCCCTCGTCCGGGTTGTCTGCTCAGCCACACAAGAAATGCCATAAAACAACTAAGCGGTTCAGCTTCCAAAGCTGCCTCTGCAGCACAGCGGGCAGTGCAGAGACACCCAAAGGTGACATAGATTAAGCATCAGCAGACGGCCTTCATTAAAGGGCTTTTGCATCATGTTTTATATCAACATTTCCTGAAGATCTTAATGTGAAACTCTCGGGGATCTTGCCTACATGTGGAGTTTGCCCCAGTCCCACAGCAGTGGCGGGTCTTTCCTAGATCTGCATAATACCCCCAGCCACCAGCTGCAGGTGGCACATCCATCTCAGTGACACTCAGGTGCATGCTGAGGGTGCATCAGCCACCAGGCCCTGTAGGCACAAGTCTGGTGAAAGCCTTTAATGATTGACGTATCCTAAACCACTGGTAGTGCTAAAGCTGGTTTAGAAAGCAGCAGAGGAACTGGATTCTTTATACTTAGAAAGCCCTCTTCAGTCTGTCCTTCTGTTGAAGGGAAGCTTTTAAAGTTTCAGGCCAGAACCTGTCATTTGTCTCTAACTGAAATCCTCTGCTCTGACCATTTTGTATTTCTCTGCACAAATTTGCTATTGCTACTATGATATAGCATCAAGCCATATAATCTAACAGTCAGGCACTGGTGCGTCTCCCTGCATTCAACTTCTCCCCTAGTGCTCCTTCAGCAAGGGTGAGGCTCCTTCCTCATCCCCATGCTTCACATAGTGGCTGGGGGATGTCTGAAGGTGGCGGGCAGTGCGTTGATGGGGAATAAGCTCCTTTGCAACACCAGTAATGGGTGTATTTGCATGCAAACCCAAATCTGTACAAAGACATGAGTTTGCATTAGCTGAATTTTAACCTGTTGGAAATGAGAGGTTCCTCTGCAGGACAAATTGAGGATTTAATTATCTACATCTGGCTGTCTAGGCTGGCTGCCCCCCCATCTGACCAGTGGCTGGTGAATCTGACCAGGCCAAATCAAAGCTTTGATCTGAGGAAACTTAGCAGGGCAGCACTCTGAGAATGGAGTGCTTAAACTGCAGGCTGCAACATTTTAAAAGTTGTATGGTGTGACTCTAGTCCTTCTATACTCTCTCAAGAGCTACAGTTACAGTTGGAGATTACCATTTAAACTTAGCATCAGCTTCCTTTGAAGCACAGACCTCCTCTAAACGTTATCAATGCAACTTTCAGTTTAGTTGTTGTCCAGTTCCTGACACTCCATATTTTTTCCATTTTATAAGTGCCTTGTCTTAATCTAACATACTATATCCAGAATACCATTCCAACTGCATAATATTCGTTTTCAGGCTCTCTTAAGAGCATCTGCTTGACAGGTATGTCTGTCCAAGTAAGGACACAGGTACGACAAACACTGGTGTGCTAACTTGGAAACTTAGTGGAAAGATTTCTTTATGTAACAAGGATGTAAGTAGAGGGGTCTTTGTTCTTGTGAGATAACCATTTATGTCAGCTAGTCTTGGACTATCAGTAATAATTGCTGTATTAAGGAAGTTTAGAACGAATAAAAGAGATGATGACACTTAGTGGCTTACTTCAGATGCTTCTGCCTGTAGTTTAGTTGTGTTCTTTCATTCCATTGGCTAACATTTTGTTTAGGTGAACAAACACTGAGATGATCCACCTGTCTTTTTAATTATCATTTAAATAGAGAAAAATGTAGCAAACTTCTGATTTTTTTTTGTTAGTTCTACATATCTCCTGAAGACCACCTCAAAATGATCTGTGTAATTTAGCTTACATTTCTTTTTTAATGCAAGTTACAGAGTAGTGACACCTACCTGAAGGGGGAAGTACCGTAAATATGTATAAGCTCTTATTTTACATGTTATCTCCCTATTTCCATCTACAATCAGATGTTTGCATTTTGAACTCTGTTTCTTGACAGTAGCCCAAAAAGATCTGAAGTACAGTGTGTAAAATACACCATATATACCGCAAGGTTACTATCAGAATTAAGAAGAAAAGAATTTTGCAAGTTTCAGTTCCTAATGAAAACACATTTAAGATGTTGTATGGTATTAAACGTAGTTCATGTGTCTTCCAAGTCAGCAGTAGATTCTGTTCACCTCAGCATTGCATTCACCTTTAATGGTACGATGCCAAGAGACACCATCACTTCCTTTGAGCTTTGGCGTGTTCTCGACTCACTGTTTTGAACCTTAATAAAGGGAGCGTTTTGTAACTGTGTTGCTTAATCTTATAACGAAATAACTATTAGGAGATACATATCTCTGGGTCTTACAGATTATGTAAGTATTAACAATTTAAAAAATTGAGAGACTTGCAGAAAAAGAGGAAGATGTTATTTTAATTAAGCAAAAACAGAGTTATAATCACTCTTTCTAAAAATAAAATTAGACTCTTTATCAATCCTTAACATCTGCATTTAATATTTTCTTCTAAACAAAAATACAGATGTGATTATGTAGCAAATGACAGTCTTTGACAACATATAGTTTACCTTCTCCTACGCTTACTTTAATTCTAATTTGGTCATTAATACTTGACTCATTACTGCAACATGTTACTTGTAATAAAAGTGCCACAATTGAACTATAAACATGACATTGCCATCTTAAAACTGCTTTGCTATAAACTGTAGAGAATATACAGAGTTACAAAGTCATTGTGGTTTTATCAAAATATACAAACCCCCCAAACCTAACACAAGCTATCAATATTTTTCTTATGAACTATACAGTTATATAAAATATTTGTAAAATTATCTTTATATTTATAAATATTCTACCTTATTTGCTTTGGTCTATAATTATCATCATACAAGTCCACTTTGCAGATATTCCTGTGTACTTTCTTTAAAAGATCGTCATACTTTCCTGTGTTTATTCTTCTATTATCCTTATTTAAATGGAACCAAAGCTGCCATGAACCCAGAATTTCTCATGGGGTTCACAGCATTCACCAATGACAGAATAAATAAGTGGACTATATTATTACTTCAATCAATACTGTATTACCATTTCAATTGTAGTTTTATTGTACCCCTATAGTTTCTTTTAAAATACTCAAGAAGACAAAGTAAGTAAACAAACTGTATACCATATCTGCATGTAGAATGAAGTCGAGGATCACTAACCTTTGTTCTGACTTAATTTTTTAACACTTCACAGAGATGAACATACATGACTAACTGGAAATGCAGGTACATTACAACAGAGCCCTATCATATAAAATGCAATTTCTAGACATACACCCTTTGTTGTTTTTTGTTTAATCTTTTAATCGCAGTTAATCACATTTTCACAAAATACTACTACTTGCAGTATTTCAGTGATGTCTTTCAGAAGCCTACTCTCTAGATTCTTAGCAAACTCTGAAGCTAACCCTTTGGTGTGGCAGGATGAGGAAGGATGAAGAACCAACATCTCTCTCTTCCTCCATCAACCCATGCCAGGCACCTCTGTGCTATTCACCCACTCTGTTGAGCAAAGGGATACTGTGACAGGGAGCCTGCCTGCAGCCAGGTGCAGGCATGGTTTGGGATTTAACCAGGAAAGGATGTGTGAAAGTGAGATGTTGTATTTAAGGCATGGGAATGACAGGAAGCCCCATAAACTGGCCCTATCCCTTTTTGTACGCAGAGTTTGCTTCAGGGATATATACGGAAGCAAGAATCTGAGTATTTACCTACCCTTCCCAAAAATAAAAGTATTTATGGTGAGTTGCTCTGTTATTTGTTATCCAGGCATTATTCCAGGATGAGGAGGAAGTCCAATGTCTAAATCTCCTCTTCTGCCAAGAATAATGACATTCATAAAAGACAGGAGTTGCAGACCCACCAGGAGGTGGATGCTTACATACAGGATTTACTTTTCACTAGGTTGTTTCGTGAGAGCAATTTTCTTCAGACAGGTGCACCTGAATAGCTCTACCAGGCCACTGATATTGGGATTTATGCAGTTTGGAAGACTGGCTATTGTGAGTTTTACTTAATCTTTATTACATGTCTGAGAGATATCATAAATCCGGAATACTTTCTACACAAGCACTCAAGACTTAATGGTTATTATGGTAAATACAAAAATGAAAGGAAAAGAGGTTTAAACCCCTGAATATGTTTTGTAAAGGTTGAGCTACAGAAAAGCACGCCAGAACTCAACTGTACTTCAGCATACCCAAGTTCATGAAACATTTCCCACGTTCACTTTAGAATACACTAGATTACAATTACTTTGTTTATAAACATATTAATTTTTGTTTAAAAATGCAATATATGGTTTCTGCAGCAATAACTCCTTCTACAGAGTACACTGTGAACCTACATATTTATTTTGCCTAGAACGATTCTGACCCAAAAAGAACACTGTAAAATAGTTCAGTGACTAGCATCCTGTAATGCTAAGCAGCAGGATTGTGGTTGGTCATATTTTCTTTCTCTCTCTATATATATATTAGAAGTTGATTGTGGCAAAAGAATTTGGGGCCTTTCATATTAAGTTTGTATTATTGCAAATACTAGTTTTTCTTTTCTGTTATTTTTCTTTCTTTTGCATATACTGACACGTTTAGATAAGTATTTGACCTTAGTAAATGGTACTAATTTGACTGGAGATGTTTCCCCATTCAATGCATCCATATTTTCTCCAGTATATAGTTTTGAATTTCTCTTCTTCACAACTGTCACTCAGAGTATAACTTCTGGAGTTACATTTTGTGTATTTTTTACCTCACTTCCTTCTGAACCAAGGAAATGAGGATTTTCCAAAAGTTTAGTGCTTTCATTGCAAAACTGTTCCTTTCTATCTTGTGGACCTGGACTTTTGAATAGATGCTTCTTCTGGTGCATTCCCAGAGCAGCTGCTGTCTTGCAAATTTTGGGGCACTGAAAGCAAGCATATCCTTTGCCATTATGCTCACGTACATGCCTTTGCTCATGGTTCCTTTTGGTAGAAAGGTACAAGAAGCTCTGAAAGCAGAACTGACAGTGATAGCGTTTTTCTCCAGTATGAATTCTTTCATGTATTTTGAGCGTTTCATTTAAAGTGAATGCCTTATTACAGTATTGGCAGACAAAGTCTTTGACACCCAGGTGAATGCGTTCATGTTTCTGTAGATTTCCAAGGACTGAGAAACATTTACCACAGGTTTTGCAAGTGTAGGGCTTTTCCCCAGTGTGACACCTCATATGCATTTTTAAAGTGGATGGACTTTGAAATTGCTTTTGGCATAATTCACAAACGTAAGGCTTTGAGGCAGCTCCATGCCAGTGTACGTGCTCTTGACTTTCTGCAGTGGAAGACTGATCTCTCTCACAGAGCTCACAAGGAAGATTAGGCATTTCTGTGTTCTCTTCTTGACTGACTGCCTTTTCCTCAGGAGCATTCCTGAGTGCGTATTCTCTACTGCTTGTGTTGTGGCTTTCCATAATTGTGTTCTTGCTTCCATGCTTTTTCCTCCATTTGGTCTTTTTCATTTTTCTTAGCTGTTTGGATTTCTTTTTTGGTTTGTAATTATAATAGGGTCTCCAGGGTTTATCGCTGGAGTCCTGGTCACTTACATCATCACACATTTCTGTTGGCTCCAGGCATTCTGAGCTATAAAGCCTAGATGGGCTTCTTTCTTTCACCTCCATTTCTGATTCCTCATTTAGATTGTCCTGTTTGGACTCATGTTTAGATTTTCGGCCCCTTTTACAAAACAGCTTAGATCCTAATATATGTCTTTTTACAATAGCCTCATTACCAATTTTTACCGTTATTTGGCAAAGAGGTGCAACATTGCTGTCAGTAGATGTTCCAGGTAGGGCAGGCTTTGCAATATATGTTTCAGTCTTACTTGATTCTTGGACGGTATTTATTGTTTTGCTAGATGACCCTCCAGATCCTGTGATATGCTGTGAATCCTCAGTTGCTTCTGCTCTGTTGTACAGCAGCGTTTTCTTTTTATCCTTAATAGTTTTTGATTTTGTAATGCACTTACCATAATTATCTGACCCATATTTACAATCATCATTTACAGACTGACTAGGTAGATTATTTGAAGATTGTGTCTTATTGTTTTCTACAGAAGTAATTGTTTTACTATGCATTATAACTGATGAAACTCTGCTACTGTGCATTATAACAGAGGGGGCAGAACTGCTGTAACTGATGACAGAGGTTGAGTTTTCAGTCACATTAGTTAAAGACACAACTGAGGAATCACACTCCTGAGTAGCAGAGTCACTTGCTGCAGTGGAAACTCTTTTTTCAGCTGTGAAAAAGTCCCTTTGCAGGTCAGAATTTAAGATCCCTACTCCCCAAGAGGAAGAATTCTGAGTGTTTGTGGAAGCTGCTGCATCATTACATGAAGATGTATCCAAGGCAAGAGTTCTGTTTGTTGCTATTATATTATGTTGAAAATTCAGTGGTGGTAGCTCAGAGCTAAGAGAACTCTGAATAAAACAGTTAGTAGAAGCAGTTTCATTAACTTGGCTACTTGTTTGAACATTTTCATATGAAGAATTTCGGTAAGACTTATAAGGTAGTCGCCTGCATTTCATAGGTAAGAGTCGATAAAGTTTGTATGGGTACATACTTGGTTTCAAGCCTCCATTGGCTGTCTTTTTATTAACTGAGAGGCGATGGTCAATTGCATGGAAAGACTTCTGATGATTTTTTAGTATATAGTAAGTCATAAAAGTCTCCAGACAGAAAATGCACTGATACCGTCTTTCTCCCGTGTGCCAGATCTCATGTCTGGTGCGATACTCAGCTAATGCGAATACTTTATTGCAATAGTGACAAGGATATGTTCTTCTCCATGAATGCACATTTGCGTGTCTTCGAAGGCTAGACAATGTTACATAGCTACGCTTGCAGACAACGCAAGTATATAATATCTGCCCATCAACGACTTTAACCAAATGATCTGTTTCTGGTAAAGTGCGGTTTGCATTAGAATAATCAGTGATGCTGTTCTCAGACAATAGAGGCTCTGCATTTGCATATGAACTCCCATTCCTTCCATCCGCAGCAGTATAGTTATCCTCTAAATTTTGTTCGTTTCCATTATGAACTGGTAAGCCACTTGATCTCATGCAGACTTGCTCATGGCTTTCCAGTATATTTAGATTTGCAAATTGTTTGCTGCAGTATTTGCATATTAAAGTTTCCTGATGCTCTGAATGGAGTTGAAGATGAGTAGTCAGTAACGCCCTGTCATTGAATGATTCTGCACAAGAGTGACAATTGTAAACGGGCGGAACGACAGTCGCCACAGATCCAGAGGCGTTAGCAGAATTGTTTTCCTCTTCTCTTGATAAATGCAAATCTCCTGCTTTATTCTGAGGTTTTGGAAGGGAAGTAATTGTCTGATCAGTAACTGCTTCTTGTTGAGCTTCTGTAGTGGTTACTGTAGAGGCAGGTACTTTTGCTATAGCCAAACCAGTACCTTGGGGCTTAAAAGCTGTTTTAGGAGTATTACATGCTTGTTTTCCCGGCTGAACAAGTGGTGTGGCTTGGACATTTTCATAGTGGTCTTCACCCACATTGTACGAAGGGCTCCTGTCCTGCTCAAGAAAGGGTGGTCCTTGAAAAGTGTCTCCCCCAGAAGAAACTGCATAGGAGTGTTCAGCCAGTGTACTGGCTGGCTCAGCATCTTTGCAGACATCGCTTCTGTCAAGGCTGATGCTGGGAGCTTGTATTGTCTCAGATGCCTTTTTAAAGCTTGCCCTCAAATCAAGCGGAGAAAACAAACTGTTTTCTGTTTCAAAGATTGAGAATGCATTTGTAATGCGTGGTCCATTTGTCACAGAGGAGTCTTCATGTCTCTTTTCATGTTTTTCCTCTTTGACAGTCCCTTTTTCATTAACACAGTATGCGTAGGGGCACGGGGAGCTTGAAAAATTAACATCTGTAAGATCTTCTAGGAATGATATTCCCAGTTTTTTCCCTGCAGCTGCAAGGTCCGTTACAGTCTCCTGCCTCTTGACAACTACTGTGGAACTGTAGATGTAATTCAGTATTTCTGTAAACACTTCAGCTTTGAGATCATCTAACTCCAGAACATGACCTGAAATACAGATAGTACGACTCCAGAAAATGTTTTTAAAGTAAAGGCTTGAAGCCGCCAGCACATTACTATGGGCTTTAAATTTGGTATCTTCCACAATGATGGTGACATCACATAAAATGCCCCGAATGCGCTGTTCATTTAAAATGGAAAGCACAGTGTCACTGTGGAAGTCGTCCTTGAGATCCTTAGAATGGGACATGACTGTCATCTACAAGACAAAGAAAACAAGGAATATATATTTAAATGGCATTTTTTATCCATTTGTTTTACCAATTGACAGGGTCAACAGAAAGGACACAGACGCCAACAAAGGAGCAGGCCCACTTCACTGTCTCTGTCAAGGCAGTACAGGAATGAAGCAATGCATTCAGCTTAAACAGTAAGCTTATTATACTCTAGTTTTAAGCAGCAAAGAAAATAAGCAGGGTAATGCACCTAATCATTACTACATAAGGTTAACTATAGTGATTAAGAAAGATACATCACCAGTTGCCCTTATATTTTACCATCATCCAGATTCGCAATCACTGGGGAGCCCCAGTTGCAGTGAGGATTTGGAGAACCTGTCCCGGGAAGTGGGAGGTCCTATGCACTGCATTCACTCGTAGGTGAGGTCTCCAAAGTCCCTGCAAGAGGGTCCAGCTTTTATATAGTTGAATAAACATCTTGCAAAACATCAAGTGCGGAAACATCTGGCGTCACCCTCCCCATTGGATTCCGCCCAAGCCAGGCCACGGCTCGAGGAGGAGCCAAGGGAGTGTATCTATCTATTTTAGCTTTGACCACATATTTCTCAACAAGGCCAGACATCTGATTTCACAGGCTTGCAACGTGTCTCTAAATAAAGGAGGACCATTCTGCTGGTTACTATTACACAATAAGCATTACAACAAAGCTTTTATATATTGCCTTCAAAATATATATATTCATACTAAAATAATGCATTGCATATGTGATCAATACTATGCATATTTTATATATATATATAGATATATATAGATAGATATATATATAGATATAGTTGGGGTGTAACACTCACCTAGAGGTCAGCTTTGGTTCAGGGCCTATTGTTTAGGCCTCAGTACTTCACCATTTCAGTTACAGATGAAGTTTGTAGTTATGTTGTTATTTTGTGTATATATTTAATCTGTTAACCGCTAAATTTTGAGTAAAATTTACCACAGCATTTCAGCTTGAAGTCATCTTAGGTTCACTCATGCCAATAGTACTAAAGGTAATTATATACAGATTAAGGATGTAGGAACACCAGTATCTCCTCAGCAGGTGGCAGAGGATCTTCTCTGCTCCCACATGGGTCTGTCACCCATTGGTGCCTTTCACTAGGGACTGTTGCCACCAGCTTTCCTTCTGTTGTGCCAACAGGCGCATCTGCTCAGGTTCACAGTGAATGACTCACTGAACCCTTGAGGTAGTTACCCCAGCATGCAGTTGAGGTTATTTGGAAGACATTATGAGGAAAGCTGAATTGCTGTGGTTCTGTGGATACTGAGGACTTTGTTTTCTGGCGCTGTTTGTCAGACAATGATTTTACAACACAATTGCATTTAATCTCATTATTAAGCTGATATTTAAAACAGGGATCAGAGATCCCATGCAATTAAGTTTGGTACAGGATAAGGCTCTGTAAACAAACCAATGTACAAGCAACACCATTTTGTAAGAAAGAGTGGAGTACATATAACACAATTAATGTAAACAGTATATTATTTTTAAATAGTGATTAGATTTCATCACATAGTTTACACTTTGAAAATTTGTAAGTAACAATTTATAAATTCTGCAAAACAAGTAAAAAGTAATAGAATGTTTTTTCTTATAGTTTAGATTTATAGCGCTCATGCTTTGTTATTTGATAGTGTGCTCCTAATTTCTACCTAAATAATAAGATTTAATTGCAATAGTAAATACCATTAAAAAACCTGCCAATTTATAATAATGAGGTTTAACGTGGACAAAAAAATGTTTAGATTAGCCAGGCTGTTACTGTATGAATATGCAGCTTCTTTTTAAATTGAGATAAAATATGTAAAATATGAATGAAAAATAGACTGAAAAAAAGGATTAATTTAACAATATGTATCTGGAGAAAATGTCTGACTTAACCAGCTGATTTTTTTTTTTGTTCAAATTCAGAACTGCACCATGTAATCCATATAATGAGATTTGTTCCTTTTTTTCCCCATCTCTGAGTAATGTTTTCAACTACTACTGCCCATTTCTGACTTTAAGTAAGTGTCGTGGTTTAAACCCAGTCAGGTAATTCATAGCACCAGCTACCAAGAAGGAGAAAAATGACTGCTACTGCTGAACCCAGGACAATAAGGAAGACATAGTTGTCCTACTGACAATTATCAGTCACTACATTAAAAAAAATCTGCATATTTAAGACCCTTTTCTTTCAACCTGTGGAATCAAAACTCACTTAAAAGAAAATTACCAACTACAGATTCTTTGTAAGGCAGGTAAAAATAGTACCACAGCGTAGCTCTACTAAATTAGAAATACATTCTAAACATTCCACCTACTGCTACAAACTTCAGTGTTAGTCTTGAAACTTTTGACGATGACCTTTATCCTCAAATAATTTCCACTGAAAAATGCCAATATATTTATTAAGATGGATTTGGTGGTGAAATAAAGGTTTCACTAAGCAAGCAGCAATGGCCATTTAGAACATGCTGGCTCTCTCACCCTTCCAAGCTATTTGGAAGTAATCTGTTCTTGAAAAGAGGGTTTTTATCACCAAGTAAACAATCTGGGACATGCACCCTTGCTCTAGCGAATCTAGTTACATTTTGGACATTTTACCACAAATCCACCAAGTACTTCACTGCAAATTATACAAAAAACTGACAACCTTACTGTGAAGACAAACACAATGTACTATAAAAAAAGATCATAATTTGTTACATTATGGATTAATCTTGGAGGTAAAATTTGTATCTTGCAGCATGGCCACCAGTTCTATCAGGAAGGTCTTGTCTATGCAAATAGCCAAAATTTCTAACACAGTTTAATGGCTGAAATTTTCCAACACACAGAATTCAGAAAAATCAAAACTGTGTTTCAAAAAACAAACTAACAAACAAAAAAAAAAAAGCAAAAATTAAAAACACCCCTGATGCTTATACATACCATGGATGTCAAGAAATTAATTCATCAGTATAACTGCAATAGAAATGCTGACATGCATTATTTTGATGATCTGGTCACTCACAGCAGCTGTAAATCTAGCTGCATTGTTTTGTGCCTTTAAATCTTACTACTATAGTTTATCATTTATTACACTTATTTAGCTTAAAATAAGACATATTAATTTGGAATAATAACCTGAAATTCACAGAAATTAGGAACAGTTACTCATTTAGGTTTGGTATCTGAAAACACATATGTAATTGTAGAGTTTCTAGCACATCAAGTCTTCCACAGAAAGAATACTGAAAAGAACACTTCTCTTCAGGCAAGCAGCCACTATCCCATAATTGATTCTTTTTTCTCACTGACAATGTCTGAGATTACATCTGACTTGCTCATGTGATGTACTAGAAACCAACTGTCAGACTTCAAAACATTCCACAACAGGAGCTATTGACAGTTATTTCCTGAGTATAGGAAATAAATTATGTCAACTCTACCTCCCAGTGAACTGCCCCACAGGAACTTTCCTCTGTTTTTTCTGTTTCTTTATTGGAGACAGCTGGTTTTAGTTCAAGGACACATCATCTGACATACTATTTGCTAAACGTATCGGACTACTACTATACTAACAGGCATTTATAAGCAAGGCCTACAAACCCAAGTGTTTTTAGTAGAAATCATCTTATTCAACTAGTTATTTCAAAATTTATCCTCCTGAGAGGAAAAGTGAATTTTCAGTTTCTACTTGCATGTACACAGATAGCCAGTTTTTGTAGTCCTGGTTATTTGGACACGTTCCGTAAAACAAACTAGATTCGTTGTGTAAAAGTACCAAAAGCTATCATTTGCTATTTGGATTTCCTTTTTTTTTCTGTGTGCTAAACATCTGCTATATATCTAATTGGAAAGTTATACAGAAAAATTCCAGACCAAATTGATTTTCAGAGCCAACACTTTTTGCTTCTCTATCTCAATGTATGCATTCCCCAAATAGTCCATTTATTCATAAGTCTAATGATTCTCTACTACCTTTTATTTTACTTGTTTCTTGCATTCATGAAAAATATGCCTCTAAAATTCTATAGAATCAAAATGCTCTACCTAGAATACAGATAAATGAAATATTTTAGGAATACTTTACATTCCATTTGCAGTTCATGCTGCAAAAGGAAAACCTGCTCTTCAGTTTCCAAGGGAGCTCTACTAAGACCAAGATACAGAGATCAAATTTTACAGATGTATTATTATTAGCATTACCATTACATATTTTTTAATTAAAACACTGAAAAGTACATTGGAATGTTACTGTTCTTCTGTATGTTTTTTTAATAACATACTTATGGAAGAAATTTTAGTATTATTTATAAATGTTGCCAAAAACATATGTAAATACCATTTGATCTGTTAATGGTCAAACATTAAACTCTTCAGTCTAGTAAGCCATCCTTTTGGACGCAAAGAGAGTTATTTTGATACTTTTAACTCTCAATCAAGACATAAATAATTTCTTAAGAATGTGAGCAGCACTTTTGTAGTATAACTTAATAGTCTTTGGTGCACCTATAAATAACCAGCTTCTGAACAGCAGAACTTTTGATTGGGAGTTACCTTACTATTTGGAGATATTCCATGAAAGCTGTAACAGACTTAGCTTTTAATGACAACTTGTTGAATCACTTTGGGAAATAAGATTTAAACATTCATATGAAACTTAAATGTAATGGTAAGTAGGCTGATTAAACTATAATGTTACCTCTGCTGACATCAACAGAATACTGCTCCAGGCCAAGTGAAAATAAGTAACATTAAAATGTAGTGGAAATATCAGAGACTGATGTATCCAAACACAAATTCAACTACGTAATACCTCACAGATGACACCACTAATTGTAAATATTATAGCAGCCAACTCTATTTGGATACTGCAGATGAAGCTACTATTATTTTTTATATTAATATTCTTTTGAAGTAAACAGATTACAGGAAGTTTTGCCAGTCAATGACTATCAAATATAACAAATACGATTTTTTTTTTTTACTACCAAATAT